CAAATACCTTGGCCATGGCTTTATGGCCCAATGAAAACTGCCTCATTTCTGGACCATTTTCTGAAAAGCTCCGGCTATGGCCCAATGAAAACTGCCTCAAAACAAGTTTGGGAAACAAATCAATTAAAACAAAGCCCAAAACACAATTACTTTTTTGGGGGGGCCTCCGGCTATGGCCCAACTGAAAAACTACTTCAAAACAAGTTATGAAACAGAAAAAAATGAGTTAAAACACAATCAAAAACACAATTACAGTTACAGTGGTGTATGTTGTAGGGGATGTTTCATGGGATGTTTCATCCCCTGAAACATCCCATGGGGATACATGCCTTAGGCTGTAGGATGACATCTCTAACATAACCTTCCGCTACAATTGCCAAAGTCTTGAAGCAGCCGCCTGATTGAATCGTGGAAAGCACGCCGCAGCTCTGAGGGGTGGCTGTGGCAAGGCTGAGGGCTTCCTGCTCGAGACAATGGCTGCTCATGTATCTAAGATGCGTGGCTTAAGACGCCCTGACTTCAAAGGGGGCGGCCCACAACTCTCTTCGCCTCCAGAATCTCTGCAGGGTGGTTAAGGTTGATGTCCCTGGGCCGGAAGCCCAGCCTTAGCTAAGCCAATAGAAGGTGCTCAAGAAAAAAGAGACAAAGCTATGTGAAGCTTGAAGTTTGTGAGTGGTTCATGGTGTTGACGCGACTCTGGGCGAACAGATGCCATCCAAGTCTACCTGGGTAAAACCTGGTCACCCAGAAGCAGAATCTACTGGTAGTTGACCTGTCTAGACCTGCATGGAAAAGTCAGGAACTAAGTGTGAAATAACATACATGTTTACGAGGACAGGAGCGGTATGCAGCCCGCATCACTGACGCGTTTTTGATGCTAATCTCAATACAAGCAGGTGGCCTGCTTCGGATTGATGCTCTTCGAATTGAATACAAAATCTGCACCACCTATGTTTGCTTACGCTTGAGCGATCGTACGTCAGATATGCTGCAATATGTATAAGGTGGGGTCAGCAAAACACTGTCACGTTCTCGGTAACATACTTGCTTCATATACTATAATTTGACTCACAAAGTTTCTGCATGCCAAGCGCACGTCTGTCAAGACGAGCTTATAGGGCTAAGATGAAACCACCAGCCGTGTTAGAATAGAAGTACTGCCCAGGTCAGTCAGTCAGTCAGTCAGTGCACAGAGTGAGCATGTTGCGTGCAGTAAGTGGGAGAGAATTGAGACAGTAGATGAAACATATGAAACGGATGAGAGAGCGAGAGCCAACAGAACAGGAACAAGGAGCCTTCCGTCCTGCCACTTCAAGCGATCGAAATAAAAAAAATCATCATCATCATCATCAGCATCATCATCATCATCATCATGGCCACGTCCAGATAGCCGCGCAGTACCGTCTGCCGTGCCTCTAAACTAATTAGGTGTGCTGCGGGTCCCAAAACCACTAAAATTGAAGCATCGGGAACCTGCAAGTCAAACTTGATTGTAGCACCTCAAGTCGAGCATGCTCAATTCCGCGATAATCCATGATAGGAACTAGGAACCTTGAAAGGAGAATGGAGAAAGGCGGTGCTGTACCAGTGACTGCGCTGCACTTCACTTCCAGACACTCCCTCCCCTCCCACCGCCACTCCGCTCAGTCTGCGCTCCTGCACTCTCTACCTGCGCTCCACACCAATCCACTCACCCCTTTCCAGACTCCACTTGACTCTTCCTCTCCACTCTTCTCTATACCACTCCGCTCTATGCTGCCAAGGTCTACTCCTCCATAACAGTCAGCTCTACTCCTATTTGTGCCACTGCCTTCACTCGCTCGTACTCCAATCCGCTTCAATCCCACCACTCCACTCTCCCGTCCACTGATGCCATGCGAGTCCATGCCCGGCCAGAAGGGGTCCAAAAGCAACGCAGCGATACAGCTCGCAAAAATAACGAAAGGTATAAGGATCCTGACTTGGACTAGGCCCATCCCTGTGGCGATGACGCTTTGGCTTTGAGTCAGCAACAACAATCAGCAAAGGCCCACAAAAAATGACAGTTCTGAGGATCGCGCCTCCGACAGGGCAAATCCCAGTGACCGTTGACACTTGTAAGGCGCGACGGGGATGAGAGCGTTGAAAAAGGACACGTGTTAGCGGGTTGATCCCCAGTTGCGAACATCAAGAGACCTCCCCTGAACTCACACATAGCCGCGAACCCAGGCTTGAATGGGAATAAATGCTCACGATTGACACCTCTCAGCCTTTCAGAGCGGGAGGCAGTCGACACAACAGCAAAAGGCATGTGCATTTGCTGCTGGGGAACTTGCCTCTGACCTTCGCCTCGGCTGCAGATTGCATTCCATGGGTCATCATGCTTGAATACGAAGGGGTATGGGGTGCAGTAGATCGCAGTAGACGAAGCTGCCGTAGCAGGAGACTCTCCAAGCAAGCTTCTGATTCTGATCGCGTCGCTTGCGAACTTGCTGGACGACTGAACCCTTTCACTTAAAAAAACGCGCCCTCTGAAACCTATAGCAAAACCCTCAAAATTCCAATCAGAATCCATCAACATACTTATGGGGGCAAGTACACGGCCGTTGAACCGCTTGTTCTTAAAGCGAGAACACAGGCACGCCGGTACGCTTGGAGGAGTCTGAGCAGCCCATGAGCCAGTGCAGCCGGATGAACAGGAAGACATCAACGCTGCATAACGCTGCAACATGTTGAAAAAATGCTTATGCTGTTACACAAAGTTGCAAGGCTGAACGCAACACGTCAATAAAATGGCTCCGGCGTGGTTGTGGGCCGGTCTGGGCTTGGATTGAGATGGCCCCTGCTCCTGCTTACTCTGGAAAATCCTAAATGAATGTCTGACAAAATGTTTTGAACAAGTGAGAATTAACGTACTGGAAAGTGCAACAACATGTGAATAGGAAAGAAAACAGAAGTATGCCCAAGACTTGGACTTGCCTAAATTACTGTTCCCAACATGGTGGAAATTTATGGAGGGACCGAATTGCAATAGAAACCCCAAATAGATGGTCCTCCGAGCCAAATTCCATACCTTTAGGCAGTCTTTTTGGAGGAGTTGGGGGGCCTGGAAGGACCTCCGTTTACATTTTGGTAGCACTTCTTTCACGTTTTCTTCACTTGTCTGGCTCCATTCTCGGTTTTCACACATTATTATACATTGTTCACATTTTTCTGGGTCCACTCACTTAGAGTTTTCTTGTGAGATCTCTAAACTCGCTATCGTGCGGGTCCTTGCATGCCTTGGAAACCATGGGGATTTCCCACGAAATTCCACACTTTTGACAAGCATTGGTTCACGCTTTTCGTAGCTTTTGGAGGAATCTAGGGACCTGTCGGACCTCCACTTACACTGTTTTACATGCACTTTTCCACATTGTTTATTGTTTGATACCTTTTAACATTTTTCCCAGTTTTATTTACACTTTCAAGGAGAGCGCCTGTGGGGGAGCACATTTGGCCCGGTCACTGGAGACGCATTCTGAAGCACGTGCCGGGAGACCTCAGGCCTCCTGGCGCCACATACTGACACCACATCCAAAGACGCCACGTCCGGTGACGCCGCGTGGCCCTGAGATGCCCTGAGGCCATTTGAGCTATTGACGCCATGTTCCAATGCCACACCGTTCGACGACAGTGCCCTCGTACCTGCGCGCATTGCACGCAAGGGAAGTGGCACCACCAGATCCAGCGATGCCATGTTTTGACTCCAGTGACGCCGCAGTGGCGCCCTGACACAGCGCAAGCAGGTGACACCACGTTGGAACTGCCATGAACTGGCGGGATGTGCGATTTGGGCTTGGGTTTTGTAAGGTTTGGAAGTGCGTCGAGGGCTCGGGCTTCCAGTTCGCACTTTCAATCTTCTTCAAACTATCGAACACCTTTGCAAACCTGGCAGCATTTTCTTCGATGCTAGCATGAGGCGGCGCCCACCACATCACTAGAAGCTCTAAACCCTATCAGAGTTTAAAGTGTAGGGCTTCCGGTTTCGTTTTAGGATTTAAACAGGACCAGTAATTAGTCTCTTCGTCTTGGAAGATTAGGCTCCAAGGTTTTCAGGGTTAGGTATCAGTTGGTGATGTCCTTTTTTCCAAAAATCTCTGCAAATCGGAGCATGCTCTCAAGCAACTGTCTTCGCCCAACCTGTCTTCGGGAAGCCTGTGCGTCTTCAATGCAAAAGGTGCTCGCCTGACATGTTTTCGGCAGGCGTCTTCTGACGCCCACGTGGCTTCACGCCAGGAAGCGGCTTTTCCGGAGCAGTTTTCTCAGGAAGTGTCTTCGTTCGCCCACGTGCTTTGCGGCTTTGCTCCGAGAAGTGTCTTCACCGGGAATGTGTCTTCAAACGCCACATGTGTTCGCTGTCTTCGCCTAGCATGTGTCTGCTGACGTCCAGGAGTCTGTGCAAGCGATTAAATGTGCACGGCCCCAGATAACCTCAATGCATGTTTACACTCCTTTTATACTGTGCACTTTCCCATACACTTCATTCAAAGGAGCAGGCCCTGTTAAGGCTAGGCTTTCTAATTTATAATGAGGAAATGCATGGATGGCGCCCACCCCAACACATCACAGTTTGTTTGCCAGGCGGTTCCGCTATGCACTATGCACGGCTCCATATTTGCAACATCGCCCACCCTCGCACGCTTTTCACGCCCTTAGTGGCTTTGGCAGGAGGCAAGCAAAAAAAAAACACCACCCCTGTAGGCTGGTAATTAAGGCTTACGTGAAGGGGAGGATGGAGGCTTTTCTTTGCTGCCTCCCGGACATCAGGAAGCCACTTACGACCTGACGTCTGAACTAATTTAGGGTTTAGGGTCCACGCGGGGCTTTCCCCGGGCGCGGCCGCAGCCATCAGCTCGAGCCCGAGGCTGCGGAAATGAAAAGCGTTTCCCATGCCACGCTCCTTCTCATGGAGTCCAGAAAACCTGTAGACTCTAAACCCAGTGCTTTTCATTAGTTGACTTTGCACCCGTCCATGAATCTCCAAAGACAGCCCCGGGCTGTGCAAGGAAGTCGGGTTATCAAGGCGTTATGCAGCGGTTGCAAGTCCGTCTGAAGAGGAATATACAGGGTTCTATAGGGATTGAATAGGAACATGAAGGCTTTAAGATTTACGGATAGTGCGCCAATATAACGGCGCTCTTCGGGCACGGTTTCGGGCTAAGGGTTTCGGGCTATAAGGTATATAGGTGGTCCTACCAAAGTTTTTTTCTGGCGGTTGATGGGGCTCGAGGGATATAACAACAGAGAATCATAGACATCGAATGCAAACTGAAGCTATTTAGGTAGCTCATCAGGACATTGTTGTCAAAATTATGGTCCCTTGCTTCGCGACCTGCGCCAGCCTGTACATCTGTCGCTCCTCAGCGATGATGGGGTTGCGGAAGAGGTTCGCGTTACGTCAGGTGCACAGGGAGCCGGTCCACCCAGTGGCCCTTGGTGATTCTGCTTGTTCCTGCAAGGACAGGAGATGCCCGAACACCGGCCCTGGAGAGGAGAGAAATAGGAATCCTCAAGGGAGGAAGATCCGTGACATCAAATTGCACGGTGACGGCGTCAAGTAGTCCGCCTGAGGCTAGCGAATCGTCGTCTGAGTCCTGCTGCTCGGCAACAGGTGCCTGGGCCGTTCTTTGTGCCTGACATGCACGCTCGACGACTCGCTCGGACTGGCCAAGCCTCTCTGCCTGCCTCTTGCGACCCATGACGTCGCGGCTCAGACCTTGCGAAGGTCTGTACTGGAGGTAAGGCCTCAACTCAACAGTACCGACTATCGCCTGCTGTCTAGGAACTGCTGGGTTGGCGGCTTAAGCTCTATGTCAGTGGCCTTGGCTGCAATGGACCTAGCATGCTGGTCGACTTAAGAGTGGAGAGTTGGAGCAGAGGCTCCCCTTAGCAGAGTCTCCAGCCGGATCCCCGTACAGGCTTCACATTCAGCCTGGCATAAGCGCAACCTCTTCAAAAGAGGCACATGAGGCTTTCAAGCCACTCGAGCACAGCTCAATTTTCTCCTTGATCGATGCCACAATGCGACGTGGCGATGCGCAACGACCACCGCTTGCAAAGCAAGTGACAGGACTTTTAAAGTGAAGCAGACAACCGCAGCGCCAAGGCGCAAAAGGTGCCTGCAGCCCTCAGGGGCGGTGCGCCAGCAGGCGTCGCGCTGAGGCGCAGCCTGCCAATGATCATCAGAGCCTATCTCGAGTCATGTCATAGAAGCTCAGCCAAACTAAAATGAAGCCACTAGCACTAGCGTGAGCAAATGACACAGGTACGGGGACATCCTCCAGGACTCGGCCTCAGCCTTAACTAGCGTTGCAGACCCTGTCTGTTGAGGGCTTCCCTCCAGTGCAGGCATTGAGCTCAACAGCCAGGAGCAGCTCAAGGACCACATGTTGGCAACCAGCCATTAACAGCAACGCAGGCAGAGACAGCGCTCATTCAGCTGCCTCTTGGCTCGAGACAAGCTTCAGTCAGCAACCTCCGGCCACTCAGGCAAATAACAAATGCCTGCAGGTGTCTGAAGCAGACATGCTTCCTACTCCGCAGGCTATCACACAAAATGGCAGTAACACACAGCGCATCACTGCACTTTTACAGATGTATGGACACTCATCGAGGCAGGCGGCGCAAGCGAGGCCAAAGCGCTTCTTAGAGACGCCTGGGCTCGTGCACCAAAGGTGCGACGCTTGCCACCATATTTCGCACCAGGAGCCCAACACTACACAACAAGCCCGACAAGCCCAACACACGAAAGCAATGTAGACCTACACACACAAGGGACCTTCCTTTACAGCATTCAGTAGACGAAGAAACTCAGCCTCCCAGTCATGCTGCAGCCATGTCCACCCCATGCGCTTTGCATCAGCAAAGTCGAATCGGCTGACTTTGTCAGAAATGTTTGCCGAAGACATCACGCGCTGCCACTCCGGTCTGAACTCTGCCTCTTCGAGGAATCGCCATGCCTCTTTTCCATACCCTCTTACGAGAGCACGCCGGGAAGGCTCACTGTCCACGAAGAGAAGTAGCTGCTTCGGCAAGCGCTGTTTCAAGGCAAGGACGGGCAGGATCTGCGCAACTGCCTCCAAGACGAAGATATACGCCCTCCTAGAACAAAAGTGTCTAAGAAACCAATAGGGCACTCTCCCTGCGGCATATCAAACCCCTTCATTGGTCTTGACAACGAAGCCGAAGCCGTTGTGGAACGCGGCTGGATTGGTCTGCCCCCAATGCACATCGTCGGCGTCTGCGGCCTTGACGACCTTGCCATTCAGCTGGAAGAAAGCGTCCGCATAGATGATGGCCCTATCCTCCGTCTCAAACGGAATTATCCGCGGCTTCTGCGCGGCCAAGGCAAAGCGGAGAAATTCCAACGCACTACGCAGACCCGGGCTCAACTTCCACCCGGTTTGGGAGGACCTATGATACGCTGCCGCTGCTCTTTGATGTAGGGGTCGAAGCGAAGTTCTGCTTGACTGCCCAAACAATGACTGCGCAACGAACTGAACCTCCAGGATGTGGTTGTCAAGGCGGGTGACCCTTTCCTTGGTTGCCTGCACGATTACGTGCTCCGCATATGCAAGGAGGGCAACTCCCTGCAGCTGCTGCGTTTGGAAGGACATATCTTATAAAAGTGATGCGCAGTCATTTCAAAAGTGATGTTCT